CCTGGTTGGGCCCTGGCTGGACTCAGCGTAGAGCACGTGCACAGCTTCACGCCCTGGATCCAGGCCCAGGGGGGCTGGGTGAGCCGCCCAAGCCTCTGTGGGCCCCCATTTACCTGACTGTGATTGGGGGGAGGGGGCTCCTTAGGTTTCCTTTCAGGCATCGCGGGTGTTCTCCCAGCTCCCCCTCCCCCTGTTCACCTGCTCTGTGCTCTCTGAGCACCTACTGCACCCTGGGCCCCGCGGTGATCCGTGGGGGCTTGTGAGGATTAGGTGGGATCACCCTCTAAGTGCTGGGTGCCCCACGGCATGTTTGTGTGGTTACGGGTGACTGCCTGGGCAACTCTGCCTGCCGAACCCGCTTGTCCGGTAGCCCCCTGCCTCCTTCCTCTGCTCTGCTCGGCTCTTACCCTCAGGGAGGCCTTTCCTGGTCCCATTTAAAACCGCAGCCGCCTCCACACCCTGGCGCTTACTCACCCTCCCTTGTTGGCTGCTTTACTTCCTTCCATAGCATCTGCACCTTCTAACATGGTCGGAGCAACTAGTTGTACCTCCTTTTGCCGTCTTCTCTCGCCCCTGACACCTCAGCCCCTGACACCTTCCCTTGCTTGCGCCTTTCAACCCAATGCCAGGCTCAGAGCTGGCTTGGCAGCGTCACCTGGGCAACGGCCCCACCTCCCTGAGCACCTGCCTGCCCTGCCTCACGGCTGCCACCGCAGTTGCCTTGTTGCTGCGGTGGCGATGCGGTCAGAGACGGGTGCACGCCAGGCTCTCAGAACGTAACCCTTGCTTCCCAGACTGGGAGGGGCTGGCCTGGTGTGTTTGAGGAGCAGAGAGGAGGGGCTGGAGGGGGTGAGCTAGGTGAGCCAGGCGACAGGGCCAGGGTTGAGAGCAGGAGGGGCAGCAGGTTGTTGGGGGCTCCTAGTCATGGTGAGAACTTGGGGTTTGACTCTGAGTGAGCCCAGAATTCCTGGAGGGCTCTGGGCAGAGGACGAGAGGGTGCTTAGGTATTAACACCCGCCCTCTGGTGGTGGCGTGGGGAACTGTATGGGGACAGGGCAGAAGGAGGGAGCTTGGAGGGGGTGACTGGCCAGGGGGAGGTTCCCAGAGCAGTGTGGGAATAGGAGGGGTTCTGGATTTAATTCGGAGATAGAGCTTACAGATGTTGCTAATGGAGTGGATGTGGGGACTGAGCGGCAGGCAGGAGTCAAGGACGCTGACCTGGGCAACTGCTGGCCTGTTCCCCAGATGGGGCCAAGCAGGGGGGAGGGGAGGGGAGGGGAAGGGGAGGGCTGGGAAGGAGTCAGAGATGGTTGGAAGTGGTCCAGCTAAGGGAGAGCTGCCCTCCGGCCTCACAGCAGGCGATGAGGGCACGGGGGATGCGTGTCTGGAGCTCAGCCCAGAAGCTCGTTCGCTGGTTTGTAAAGCCGTTTTGTTTTAAGGAATGAGCAGAAAGCTTGGCCAGGTGCTCGCCAAGGATTTCAGTGGATGATCCCAGTTAAGCCTCACAACAGCCTGACGGGATTCGGTTATTATCCGGGTCTTACGGAGGCTGGGAGGGGAAGCTCCTCACGCAGGGATCAGAATCAACACTTACACACAAAGCCAGGGCTCTTGATCTTTAAAACCCCAGCGCCCTCTCCTCTCCCTGGAGCCCTGTCTCTGCCCAACCTCCACCAGCGCTCCGCCCACCCGCGGGCTCTGTGTCCTCTTCCTCACCGGGACTGGCCCCACCCCCCCCCCGGTGTCTCAGGGCTCTGTCCCCCCACCCTGGGTGTCTGTCCCCCCACCCTGGGTCTCTCTCCCTCTCTGGTCTCTGTCCCCTGTCCATCCTGGTTCCCTGCGCCCCGTCTCAGCTCTCACTGGGCTGGTGTGGATGCTGCTGTGCGTGGAGGGAGCCTCCACTGACGAGGCTCTGCCGCTTTTCCCTGCAGGAGGGCATCCTGGCCAGCTCCCCCGTGGACTTGAACTTGCCCCTGGACTAGCTCTTCCTCAGCAGCTGTTACGAGATTGGCCTTCAGGCGCCGGGGCCGTTGCGTGCTTCTCGAGCCTTCCTCTTCTGCTCAGGGCTGTGAGTGGTGGCTGCCCACCCTGCTTTTGCCAAAAAGAAATGGTTCAAATTTCTTTCATATTAAAAACTTGTTCAAAGGTTGAATCACTTGTTCTTTCCCTCGAGAACTCAAGTTCTAAGTAGGGGAGGTGTGGTTCAGAGATCTCTTTGGTTTATACATTGAGGCGAGAGCGATGCATTCATTCCAGAAATGTTTATTTGGAGCACTTAGGAGTGCCTGCCAGCTGCGCATACAGCGTGATGAGGATGCGTGTGAGCACGACTCCAGCTGACGCCTCTTCCCCGCTGCCTGGGGCATCTATCCCAGCTGCCCCTGCGCGATGCCCATGGAGCCTTCCAGCTAGTTCTTCCTTCACGGGCACCCGAACACCACCACCTTCCCATTTTCTCCTTCTGTGCCTTTTTTGCTGGTTCCTCCTCATCTCCCTGGAGACTTGGGGTTTGTCACCTTTTTGGGGTGTAGCCTCTTTCACAGAATTGTGTTTGTAAACACAATGAGATGCACAGCCAGTGACAGTTGGTCCTTGTTATTTGCACGCTCTATAGTTGCGAATTCACCTACCAGTGGTCGGCAAACCGCGGCTCACGAGCCACATGCGGCTCTTTGGCCCTTTGATTGTGGCTCTTCCACAAAAATACCGGCTCTTCCACAAATACCGACTTCTGCGCATGGGCCACGAAGTTTCAATCGCACTGTATGTGCGCGCCCCCACATGGTATTTTGTGGAAGAGCCACACTCAAGGGGCCAAAGAGCCGCATGTGGCTCGCGAGCCGTGGTTTGCCGACCACGGACGTAGGCACTAACATCTATGTGTAATCCCCAAATGAATACTCACGGTGGTGGGCACGAGTGTGGGCAGAGCTGCCAAGGACGGGACTCGCCCGCTGCGCACCTCCTCGGCTAAGACTGAACACGCGCCCCTCTGCCACCTGGTTCAGCTCTCAGACTGTCGACGTGTGTGTGTGCCCACCATCTGTTTAGTGGCCCGTGACTTTTTGCATTTCTGTGTTTTCGTGTGGTGATTTTGCTGTTTAAAAGGAACCCTCCCGCCCTAGCCAGTTTGGCTCAGTGGGAAGAGCGTCGGCCTGCGGACTAAAGGGTCCTGGGTTCCATTCTGGTCAAGGGCACATGCCTGGGTTGCAGGCTCAATCCCCAGTGTGGGGCATGGGGGAGGCAGCCGATGAATGATTCTCTCTCATCATTGATGTTTCTATCTCTCTCTCCCTCTCCCTTCCTCTCTGAAATCAATAAAAACATTGAAATAAATAAATAAAAGGGACCCTCCCTCCCCCGCCCAGAGCATAGCACAGAGTTGCTGTCCAGGGTCCCGCAGAGCAGGAGGGAGAGGCTACTTAGGTTAAAGACCGCGTTCAGGCGTGAGCTACTGTGCTCTTGGCTGGGAGGCCAATGTGAGTGAATTACCAGTAGGTATTAAGTAAGTTGTCTAAACAAAGCACACTGCCCTAGCCAGTTTGGCTCAGTAGATAGAGTGTCGGGCTGTGGACCAAAGGGTCCTGGGTTCGATTCTGGTCAAGGGCACATGCCCAGGTTGCAGGCTCAGTCCCCACTAGGGGGCGTACAGGAGGCAGCCGATCAATGATTCTCTCTCATCATGGATGTTTCTATCTGTCCTCTCCCTTCTGTCCTCTGTCCTCTCTGAAATCAATAAAAATATGTTAAAAAAAAAAACAACAATAAAGGACTCCCATCTGATTAAGTCAAGTCCACCCTGGAAGATGTCCCTTTTGATTAATTTAAAGTTAACTGGTTTAGGGCCCTAATGACATCTGCAAGATCAATTCACCTTTGTCGTACAAGATAATCAGGAGAGGCATTCATTTCCTTTGTCCTATAACCCAACCTGGTCCCCGGTATATAACACTGGGGGGCAGAGATCTTGGGGGCCCCCTTGGAGTTCTGCCCATCACAGCATATCTGCAACCACTGCCACGTGACATGCAAGTCCTCCTGTGGGGGACCAGGCCACAGGAGCTAATCCTGGGGTCTTTGATGTGTTGCCTAAATTCTTCATTGAAGGAATGGCCAAGTTCCCGTTTGCTGAGGGGTGAAGTTTCTATCCTCCCAGCCCCTGGAGGCCTGCATGCTAAGTCGGGCACTAGATGTCTCTGTGCTTCTCCTCACCCCACCTCTAACCACACCCACCCCCAGTGGTTGCACCCATTCCCAGGCTGTGACGCAGTGCAGCGCTGGCTGACAGAACTAAGTGAGCTTCCGTGTGATGGAGAGCACGCCCCGAGTCCCCGGGCACGGGCCTGACTGGGATCCAACCGATGACAGTTTGGTGCAGGGGCCGATGTTCAACCACAAACCACACTGACCAGGCGGTCTATTAATTTTAACAATTTTTATTAACCCTGTTTATCCAAAATACAGAATCGTTTCAACATAGTAGTCAACATAAAAATATTAGTGAGATATTACAGATTCTTTTTTTAAAAATATATTTTTTATTGATTTCAGAGAGGAAGGGAGAGGGAGAGAGAGATAGAAACATCAATGATGAGAGAATCATTGATTGGCTGCCTCCTGCACGCTCCCCACTTGGGACCGAGCCCACAAACCAGGTATGTGCCCTTGACCGTAATCGAACCAGGGACCCTTCAGTCTGCAGGCCAATGCTCTATCTACTGAGCCAAACCAGCTAGAGTGATTCTTTTTTTTATATTAAGTCCTCTGAATCATCTGTGTTTTATTATTCTTTTTTATATATTTTATTGATTTTTTACAGAGAGGAAGGGAGAGAGATAGAGAGTTAGAAACATCGATCAGCTGCCTCCTGCACATCCCCCACTGGGGATGTGCCCGCAACCCAGGTACATGCCCTTGACCGGAATCGAACCTGGGACCCTCCAGTCCCCAGGCCGACGCTCTATCCACTGAGCCAAACCGGTTTCGGCTATTATTATTAATTTAAATATTTTTGTATTGATTTCAGAGAGGAAGGGAGAGATAGAAACATCAATGATGAGAGAGAATCATTGATTGGCTGCCTCCTACATGCCCCCCCACTGGGGATTGAGCCTGCAACCCAAGCATGTGCCCTGACCAGGAATCAAACTGTGACCTCCTGGTTCATAGATCGACACTCAACCCCTGGGCCACCCTGGCCCGGCTATTATTATTTTTTAAGCCTCACCCCAGGACATGCTTAGAGTGAGGAAGGGAGAGAGAGAGAGATAAAAACATCCATATGAGATAGAAACCTTGATCAGTTGCCTTAAATACACTCCTTGATCCAGGATCAAACCCACAACCCAGGTATGTGCCCTGACCAGGAATCGAACCAGCAACCTTCAGCACATGGACGATGCCCAAACCACTGAGCTATTCGAACAGGGCCGGTGTGTTTCACACTCAGTACATCTCAGTTCAGACTTGCCACAGTCCATTACGCACCTGGCCCAGGCGACGAGTGGCTGCCTTCTTGGAAAATGCAGAATTTGATGCTGACAACTTGCCCATTTCTGACTCCAGCCTGAGATTTTTCCCTTGAACGGCTATACCACCCTTTTTTCAATGATGTTAGGCTATATTCTCTAGTGTCTTATCATTTGTTATAATATTTTGTTCTTGGTAGCAGCACAGAGTAGAAATAATTGATCAGGTCAAAATACAATACTTGGAAATTAGGAAAAAAACACAAAACTGATTTAGGCCTTGGCTGGGTGGCTCTGTTGGTTGGAGTATCATCCCGTGCACCAAAGGGTTGTGGGTTCGATTCCCAGTCAGGGCACATACCTAGGTTTTGGGCTCAATTCCTGGTCTGGCAGGGAGGCAACTAGTCAATGTTTCTCTCTCTCAAAATCAATGGAAACATATCCTTGGGTGAAGATTGAAAACAGAAAGACAAAAACTGACTTAAGACCCATATAGCATACAGTGTAGGATCAAAATGTGGGCTCCGATTATTTCATTATTTTGACTTAATCAAAATTTAAAATCTCTGCCCGGCCAGCATGGCTCAGGGTTGAGCGTCAACCTATGAACCAGGAGGTTGAGGTTCGATTCTTGGTCCAGGCACATGTCCAGGTTGCGGGCTCAATCCCCCATAGGGGGCATGCAGGAGGCAGGGGGCAGATCGGTGATTCTCATCATTGATGTTTCTGTCTCTCCCTCTCACTTCCTCTATGAAATCAATTTTAAAAATATTTTTAAAAAGATAACAAGCCCTAGCCAGGTTTGCTCAGTGGATAGAGCATCAACTGCGGAGCGAAGGGTCCTGGGTTTGATTCCAGTCAAGGGCACATGCCCAGGTTGAAGGCTTGATCCCCAGTGCGGGGTGTGTGGGAGGCAGCCCATCAATGATTCTTTCTCATCATTGATGTTTCTCCCTATCTCTCTGAAATCAATGAAAATTTTTAAAAAGATGTATTTTTTAAATGAGTACACACTTAAAAAAATGGATGTGAGCAGACACTTGATAAAAGAAGATATACGGCCCTAGCCGGTTTGGCTCAGTGGATATAGCGTCAGCCTGCAGACTGAAGGGCCCCGAGTTCGATTCTGGCCAAGGGCACATGCCTGGGTTGTGGGCTCGATCCCCAATAGGAGAGGTGCAGGAGGCAGCCAATCAATGATTCTCTCTCATCATTGATGTTTCTCTCTCTCTTCCTTCCTCTCTGAAATCGATAAAAATATTTTTTTTTTAAAAAAGAAGATATACGAATGGTCAATGAGCACATGAGCAGCAGTGGTCAGAGCAATACAAATGACAGCCGGGACGAGATACCGCTCCGTACCCACCAGCCTGGTGAAAACGAAAGATGGATCCTATCAGGTGCTGGCCAGGACCTGGAGCAGCTGGAACTCTTCATGCATCCCTGATGGGAATGCAAAATGGTAGGACGCCCTGGAAGACTTTTTGGCAGTTCCTTATAAAGTGAAGTATAGAGCATACACCCTGCATGCAACTCGGTCATCTGCTCCCAGGTTGACCCCAGAGAAAGGACAAAGTGTCTCTTCACAGGAAGACTTGTACACGAATGCTC